GCGTTAGGCTATTCACAAGGAGAGGCCACTCATGGGTCATGTTGGGCTCCCAAGCGCCTTGCTTCGCCGTTGATTGTCATGCGCACGATGAGAACATGCGCCCCTTGAGACTCGTTGGTGCGTCATGCACTTGCACGTCTGCAGGGAGTGTCAGAACATTATAGCTTATGCTTTTGTGTAGGCTGTAGTGGGGTATCCCATAGCGGGTACAACCCAATTAGGGTTAGTACTTGTACTCACTTCATTCATAGTTCATTCATTCTCATTCATTCTTTCTCATGGTATCGAGCAGGTTCCCTCGTGGGAACTGTTTCTAGGGCCCACCGATCCCTTTTTTTCCTGCCCGAGGCGCGTCCTGCCCCTGCCCGAAGCGCGCCTTGGGTCGCGCCCTTCTTAGCGGCCCGTCGCGTCGCCCTTAGCTGCCCGTCGCGACGCCCTTACGGTAGCGTCGCGCAGCCCTAACGGTCGCGTGGCGCCGCCCTTTTCACAAGCGGCCCGTCGCCGCCCTAGCAGCGGCCCGTCGCCGCCCTAGCACCGGCCCGTCGCCACCCTCACCAACGGCCCGTCGCCGCCCTAGCAGCGGCTCGCCGCTGCACCAGTTCACTCCTGCGCGTCAGCGAGTGACGCACTGCACATAGGCTCGCACAGGCCGACACTTGGCTACGTTTACACGTCAGCCGGGGTCGAGCCTGTACACACTGACCACCGCGTCTCCTCCAGTTGCTGGGTCTAGTCGGGTAGCTGCGTCGGGTCAGGTGTTTGCTGCAGCGTCCAGGTCTGGTCCTGAGTCTGCCCCCTGTTCGTGTCGTCTCCTGTCTCACGAGACTCTCCTCTGGCACCACCGCCTTGGTCACCCCTCTCTGCTTCGTCTCAGAGGCATGGCCTCCCGTCTTCTTGTTTCTGGTCTCCCCCAGTCCCTCCCTCCCCTTCCTCAGGGGCCTGGCCCTACCTGTGTCCCCTGTAACGAGGGGCGCCAGCTTGCTGCCCCTCACTCCTCCCAGTTTCCTCCGACAGAGGCCCCACTGCAGACGCTTCACATAGACGTGTGGGGCCCAGCCTGCGTCCGTGGACAGGGTCACGAGCGCTACTTCCTGCTCGTTGTTGACGACTACTCGCGTTACACCGCGGTCTTCCCCTTGCGCAGCAAGGATGATGTCACTGAGGTGCTGATCGACTGGATCCGCGCAGCTCGTCTCCAGCTCAGGCAGAGCTTTGGCTCGGACTTCCCTGTTCTGCGTCTGCACTCGGATAGAGGCGGAGAGTTTTCCTCTGGCCTTCTGAGAGCCTACTGTCGCGCACGAGGCATCCGTCAGACCTTCACGCTTCCGGACTCTCCGCAGCAAAATGGGATCGGTGAGCGCCGCATTGGCATAGTCATGGACGTCGCTCGTACGTCTATGATGCATGCGGCTGCCCCCCATTTTCTGTGGCCGTTTGCGGTGAGGTACGTGGCGCATCAGATCAACCTTCACCCCAGGGTCTCCAGACCGGAGACCTCCCCAGCCTTGCTGTGGACAGGGAAGGTTGGCGATGCGTCGGCGTTCCGGGTCTGGGGATCTCGGGCGTTTGTCCGCGACTTGTCTGCGGACAAGCTGTCCCCTCGTGCTGCTCCTTGTGTCTTCCTGGGGTTCCCCCCTGACGCGCCTGGGTGGCAGTTCTACCACCCCACCTCTCACCGTGTTCTGTCCTCCCAGGACGTCACGTTTGACGAGTCGGTCCCCTACTACCACCTCTTCCCCTACGGCACTCCGTCCCTACCCCCCCCCCCGCTCTTCCTTGTACCAGGTCCCCCCCCGGTAGACCCCCTCCCCCCTCAGGGTCCTGCCCCTTCAGGTGTGTCCCAGGTAGACGCAGTTAAGCCTGTCGAGGTTTTTGGTGACTCTGGTGCTGCTGAGGGTGCTGAGCCTGGGGGTGCTGAGCCTGGGGGTGCTGAGACTAGGGGTGCTGAGCCTGGGGGTGCTGAGCCTGGGGGTACTGAGCCTGGGGGTGCTGTGCCTGGGGGTGTTGTGCCTGGGAGTGCTACACCTGGGGGTGCTGAGCCTGGGGGTGCTGAGCCTGGAGGTGCTACGCCTGGAGGTTCTCCGGGTGCTTCGTCTCGGCGGGAGCCACTCTCTCCACCGGAGCTGCGCGAGTGGTTTGCCCGGCATTGGAGCCGTGCTGCTGGAGCTGGAGGCTCTTCGGCTACTGAGGGTGCTGCTGTCGCGGGTCCCGGAGGTGCTCGTACTGGGAGTACTGGAGCTGCTGGGTTTGCGAGTTCGACTGGAGCTGGAGCTGCTGGGTTTGCGAGTTCGACTGGAGCTGGAGCTGCTGAGGGTGTTGGTGCTGAGACTACTGCTCGCGGTCCTGCTGGGGGTACTACTGGTGCTGCAGGAGGTTCTGGAGCTGCTGGAGGTGCTGCTGGAGCGGGTGCTCCTGCTGGGGGTTCTGGTGCTGTCCCTGCTGTGACTGGCGTCGCCGCGCGGCCTCGACCGTACTTCGTTCCACTCCTGCAGCAGGTTCTTGGTCTTCCACCTTCTACTGGTCCTCCTCCTTCTTTAGAGTGTCCACAGCTTGTCCCGTCACAGTTACTGTTGCTGCCTACCTCCCCTTTGCCTGCTCCTTCTCCCTACACTGGTCCTACTGGAGGTCTTGCTGAGCGTCGTGAGCCTGCGTCTCGCCCTGCGTCGCGTGTCCGTGCTGCTCGCACTAGTGGTCGTGGTTCGCGTCAGCGTCCTCCTCCTGTCCCTGGCACGCACAGGATGTCTCTGCGTCTGTCCACTGCTCCTCTGCGCGCCCCTTTGCCTTCTCCTGCTGAGTCCTCTCTTCCTGCTCTTCCCTACCCAGAGTCGTACTCTCTTCGTGCTGCCAGTCCTACTGTCACGCGTCTTCTTGCTACTGTCGTCACTGACCCTTCTTTCGAGTCCACTGCTACGTCTGCCCTAGTTGCTGAGCTCCAGTGTCTGGCAGCTTCTTCACCTCATCTCGTGTCCGTACTGCTTACCCCTGAGGGAGACCCGGATGCACTTGACATCCCGACTCCGCGCTCTTACGCGGAGGCGATAGAGGGTCCCTACTCCTCTCAGTGGCAGGCAGCTATGGACACTGAGATGGCTTCATGGAAGTCCACAGGCACCTACGTTGACGAGGTTCCCCCGCCTGGGGCGAACATTGTTAGTGGCATGTGGATCTTCAGGGTGAAGCGGCCGCCGAGTTCTCCGCCTGTCTTCAAGGCACGGTACGTGGCTCGTGGCTTCAGTGAGCGGCAGGGAGTTGACTACTGTCAGACCTTCTCTCCCACCCCGAAGATGACCACTCTTCGGGTACTGCTGCACGTTGCTGCTCACCGTGACTACGAGCTGCACTCTCTCGACTTCAGCACTGCTTTCTTGCAGGGAAGTCTGCACGAGGAGATCTGGCTGCGCCGCCCACCTGGCTTCACTGGGTCGTTCCCTCCTGGTACCCAGTGGAGTCTCCGGCGTCCAGTCTACGGTCTCCGCCAGGCGCCACGTGAGTGGCACGACACACTGAGGACTACGCTTGCGGCTCTTGGGTTTGCTCCCTCTATTGCCGACCCGTCGCTGTTTCTGCGCACCGACACCTCTCTGCCGCCGTTCTACATCCTCGTGTACGTTGACGACTTGGTCTTTGCCACAGCTGACACTGCTGGACTCGCCTACGTGAAGTCCGAGCTGCAGAAGAGACACACGTGCACAGACCTGGGTGAACTGCGCAGCTACCTTGGCTTGCAGATCACCCGGGACAGAGCACGCCGCACCATTACCCTGACTCAGTCACACATGGTGCAACAAGTCCTCAGCGCTTCGGCTTCACGTACTCCTCGCCTCAGGCCACTCCTCTGCCTACTCGCCACTCACTCTCAGCTCTGCCTTCGGATGAGTCCGTAGAGTCGAGCGGCTCGTATCCAGAGCTTGTTGGCTGCCTCATGTACCTGATGACCTGCACACGACCTGACCTTGCATACCCTCTCAGCATTCTCGCACGCTATGTTGCTCCTGGGAGACACCGACCAGAGCACATGGCTGCAGCGAAGAGGGTGTTGCGCTACTTGTGCAGTACGTCGGGCATGGGGCTAGTGCTTGGAGGGCGCAGTCCAGTGGTCCTCACTGGGCACGCAGACGCTTCTTGGGCTGACAACCAGGCTACGCAGCGGTCGTCACAGGGCTACACCTTCAGCCTTGGTTCCGGCTCTGTCTCGTGGCGGGCTACTCGCTCGTCTTCTGTTCTCGGCTCCAGTTGTGAGGCTGAGATCTACGCTGGGGCCATGGCTGCACAGGAGCTTCGCTGTCTCACCTACCTGCTGACTGACCTCGGAGAGCCGCCTCGTTCTCCTCCAGTTCTGTACGTAGACAACAAGGCCATGCTGGCCTTGTGTCGAGAGCAGCGAGTGGAGCACAGAACAAAGCACATTGCTCTCCGCTACTTCCTTGCTCGTGAGCTACAGCAGCGTGGACAGTTGCGGCTTGCGTACGTGGCCTCTGAGGCCAACACTGCTGATGTTTTCACCAAGGCATTTTCGCCTTGTGATCATCAGCGCTTCTGCACTCAGCTGGGTCTTGTGGCTGTCTTGCCTCACTTGGTCACCTCTTGACCTTACTTGTACTGTTACATATATATATACCTGCTCTTGCTTGTCTCGCCTTATATATGTATGTACTCCTGCATGTGAACTGGCCTTGTGGTCTTGAACTTGTGCTCGGAATGTGTGGTGACTTTGTGATCCACCCTAAGCTTGCTTTGCTTTGCTTTGCTTGACTGGTCTTGTGACCCCCTGTTCTCCCCCACTTTGCCTATGGGGGTGTGTCAGAACATTATAGCTTATGCTTTTGTGTAGGCTGTAGTGGGGTATCCCATAGGGGGTACAACCCAATTAGGGTTAGTACTTGTACTCACTTCATTCATAGTTCATTCTCGTTCATACTTTCTCAGGGAGAGTCCATTGCGACCCCAACAACTGCAGGGTGCAATGCGGTGGTGTGCGCTGGTCGCTGGTAGGATGCGAAATGGTTTGGTTGGAATCGGACGTGCGATGGCGACGCCATGTTGACGACGGGCTGGCGAATTGGGAACGGAGAGAGGTGAACGATGCGATCAATGGTAACAGATGGGATGGGCGTGGTACGAATGCACGGATGGGCGTGAGCATGGGCGTGAGCTGCGTTGGGCGTGAGCCATGCATGAAGTGACATGCCTCCCTCACGTGCTCTCTCGCTCATCCTCGTTCCTCCTTCACCGCTTCTCTCTCTTCGCTCTTTCCTCTCGACTCAAGCCAGCAAGTTCTACTGATTCTGATTATCCATCACTTCCATATCCTCGGCCAGTTGCCCCCTTTGCACGAGTCGAGATTTCTGTCTGTGTGGCGTTGCTCCTTCTCAGGACCATTCTCTCTCTTTTGCCCTCGGCTGGGAGCTTGTGCTTCCACACACCATGTACGCTTGCGCCCATCCTGTTCTCTCAGCGGTGTGCCCCACTTTTAACAGCTTGTTGCTCCCATCTGGCTCACCTGTGCCACCTCCACTCACCAGGTACGCCCGGTCCTCCTATTCTTCCGCACCGCTGCCCCTCTTCTTTTCCTCTGCGTTCCCTGCCTCTGCCTCCGCCTCCCTTTCCAACCCTGCATAGTTTATTGTTCCTCACTTTGCATGTCTTGTTTTCATCCCAAGCCTTTTCAGTTCAGCTTGCTTTCACCATGTCATAATCAGTTGTTTCTTTCTCATTCCCTCCTCTCATTCTTCTTGACCAGCCAATCATTTCGCCTGATCGTTGTTCTCAAGAAGGATTTTTGCAACCCGCAAGCTTGTTGCCTTGCCATCTTCTCTGCTGTGAATTTCTAAATCTCACTGTCTCCTCTCCTCCCTCCCCCATACCTCCTGCGCCTCCATCCTCTCTGTTTTCCCCCACCTCCTCAGCTGCCCTTCCGTTCTGCCGCCAAATTGTGCCTCACGCTTCAGTTCAGCCGTTCTGCTTGTCGTTCGTCTCTCTGCGGTCATCACGTGAGGTGGGTTGTATCCCTGGCTTCTTTGAACTTCATATCTCTAGCTCTCCCGTTTGCGTTCATCCCTAGCTGCTGCTCTGCTTCAATACAGTGCATACCTGTCCTGTCTCACTGTTCCTTCCTCCTGCGTGATTCCCTTCCTGCTGCTTCCATCCCGTGCGTGAGCATATCTTCGTCCACCTCCCACGACACCCACACTGCATCTCCTTCGTCCTCTTCCATCACCGTGCTCTGCTCTCTCGCCCTCACGATGCTTGCCCCTGTCCATCCTTCGTCCGTTCATGCTCACTTCATCTACTCTTTTCGCTTCTTGGCTCGTCACTTCTCTTCTACCCCTTCTACCATCGTTGCCCGCTGCCTCTTCACCGTGCCTTCACTCTGCGCCGCCTCCTCTGCCGCCCAGCTCACTCCCAGCTCACTCATGCCTCCCCTGTATCGCTTCGGATTAATTCCTCTTCCTTGCATCCCAAACCGCAACCTTCGCCCTTGCATTCACATCTCACTGTCACTTCAATTGTCGACCATCTCACCAACCTGCCTCACTCCAGCCTCTCGACTCATGTGATTGTATGTTACATTAATCGTCAGTGGTCTTATCAGCATATGCTTCACCGCCATGTTTATATGCTTCATGTGACTCCATCCCTTGCTTCTTCTCCTTCCGTGCACTCATTGGCCGACTGTTATCCTTCCCCTGCTGCTACCGCTCCTCCTTTCCCTCCCCTTCTTTCCCCCTACCTCTTCTTCTCCCGATGCAGTTGCTGCTGCTACACGACCTGCTCTTCTCCTGCCACGACGCTCCTCGCCCCACTTGCCCATTGAACTTCCACCTTCCTTTTCACATTTCCAGCCAGTCTCATCTCTACCCGTCTGTCCTCACTCACTGTGCAGGCGCATTGGGCTCGCCCCATCAGCCATGGCTCGGATGACTGCAGTGGCCATGCTGCTGCCAGGGCTGCTGGTCGCCCTCCTTCTCGCCGCTGCCATCACTGTCATCACCATCGGGCCACTTGGCAGGGATGTCTGGCGTGCCACCATTGCAGAGGACGTGAGTGACTGCCACGGCAGTGGATAGTGATGTCTGATCTGATGTATGCTCACCAGTCTATGCTCACTCTAATGTAGTGAGTAGTGGTGACTGATGCCCATGTCCCTTCGAATCGAAGTTGGCTGCTCTTTGTCATGTCGGCCTACTGTGTTGCGTGTTGGCGAGTAGTGGTGTCTGATGCATGTTCATTTGTTCAGAGCTGCATTGCCTCGAGCGTCTTAGCTGCCATTTTTTGTGACACTCATGCATCCGTTCTGGGTTGCATGAGTCCGTATTCTGTATATTTCTTCCTTAGATTCTTGCAGCTGCCACGTGACTCTGACGACATCCAGCAAGTCATCCACCCTCTCATGCTGCCCCCTCCGCCCCTCGATCATGTGAGCAAGTCTCATGCCTCTGTCGTTTATGACTTATCTGCATACACGTTTCTTACCAGTTCTGATAATATCAAAGTCTGTGTGCTTTATGTGTGTTGTGCATGTGTGTGCGAGTGTGAATGGGTGTGGATGCCCCGTCCATTGCATGCATGTGTCGTCTGCCTCTTAGGCCAATGCCACTGCCACGTGTCCGAATGCCACGGGCTTACCTCACTCTCATGCCCATGATCTCAACGTGCTTCTTCACTTCCTCCACACTCTGGTGCATGTTCGGTTGGGATGACAGATGCTTCTGCAGTTGCCACTTTACTCGCTTTGAACCACTCAATGATGCAGCCCCTCATGTTCGTACTTGCACATCTCTTACGCCCTTCTCCTTCCACATATGCAGTCTCCGGGTGCGTTCCATCTCCTCGTGCTCTATTCTGCCCTCGCCACTCTCCTGGCACTTCTGTGGGGGATGGGTGTGACCCACACGCAAGTCAGAGCATGGGTGCATCAGCAGGGCTTGGCTGTGACGGCTGGGCTGATGAAGCTGAAGAGTGCAACCAAGTGCCGAGTGGTATGCCATGCGCTCCGCCCTCCACCACTGCTTGGTCCCTCTGTCAATCGATTCTCCCCACTCCTTTTGCACGCTATCTACTGCACACCCCTTATTGTGCACTCCCATTCTTCATGATGCTGCCCATTCTCACGTCTCTCATTCTCCTCTCTCTTCCCCTTTGTCCATCACTCATCCTGCTTTCCTTTCCTTTCCCCCACCATGCGTCAGCCGCGTGGAGCCGTCTCTCTGCCGCACAGCCCCATGTGAGCATGCTCCACGTCCTTCGTCGTGCGGTCCATTTGTCCTATCCGTATCCCTTTGTTTATGCTTGTCCGGTTGTGAATATTATGTTCATGTACCTCTTTGGCTTTTATGATGCACATGTAACATCTACTTTATTCACGCTGTCATGCTGTATGCCTCTCCGAACTTCCAATTCCTGTTCAAGCACTTTTGTACATTATTTTTTCGGACTCTCGTCATCATTCTCTTCACATTAGGCAGATCAATTGCCTTGCATTTGCTCAGGTCGTCCTACGAGTTTTCACCCTTGCCTTCCATGTGTGACTTCCCAACCTACCTCCCCATCCTCTCCTTACCATGTCTGTACCGTATGCCCTCCTTGTGCTACACTCTGCTGCTGTGCGCTTGTGTGCTGCCACGCCCATCTGTTCGCATGTGCTTCCTGTGTTCTGCCATGTGTAGGGAGTGTGCTAGAATGGGTGAGGTTATTGGGCCTGCCACGGCGAGTATGACCGGAACACACGAGTTGAGTGATGTGATGGAGATGAGAATGAGGGCGCTTGGCGTGCAGCTGGAAGAGACAAGAAGGGAGTTGGGGGAGGCTGAGAGGAGACGAGTGTCGGAGATGGGTGAGATGAGAAGGCAGATGGAGGAGAGGGAGAGGGAGCTGATTGGAAAATGGGCTTTAATGAGCGAGAAGCTGGTTGCAGTGAAGGGGGAGTTAGCTACAGTGAAAGGGGAGCTGGTTACAGTGAGGGGAGAGTTGGGTGAGCACAGGCAGTCAACTGCATTGCAGTTGGAGGAGGCTGAGAGGAGACGAGTAGCGGGGATGAGGGAGATGAGAGGGCAGGTGGAGGAGGGGGAGAGGCAGCTGGCAGCAGGGCTTGCTGCAGTGAAGGGCGAGTTGGCTGCTAACGAGGATTCTTTGAAAGAGAAGTTGGATGTGGCTGAGAGGAGGAGGGACTCGGATTTGCGAGAGCTGAGAGAGGAGGCCAGAAAGAGAGACGAAGAAATGAGAGCGGAGTTGGCAAGGGAGAGGGAGGAGAGGAGGAGGGAGGGGCAGGAGACGTTGACAGCCTGCAGGAACCTGGTGAATGTTCAGCAGGGGCTCAACCAGAGTGAAGGCCCTCGGAGTGCTTCGTGGGAGGTGTGTGCTGAGTGGTTTTTTCAGAATTTTCAAAAGCTGAGTGCATGGGAACTGTTCGATAGTTCATGAGTTCTTTGTGGTAATGTCTTGATGGTCATTCCTTTCCTTCTCATGTCATTCACCCCCCCTTCGTCCATCACCTCCAGCAAGTCAAGGCAGAATTTTCACGAGGAACTGATATGATCTTGAAGAATGCGCAAGGGCTCACGGACGCCATGCTCAGGGATGTGGCCAGCATGACCCATCTGAAGAGCATTCACCTGGCCTCTACCACGGGCTTCAGTGCAGAGGGCGTCAAACACCTCTACAGCCTGCCACAGCTGGAGACACTAAACCTCACAAGCACGGTCGTTTCAGACAGGTCCTTGCAAGGCATCGGTTCCTTGACCAGTCTCAAGCAGCTTTATCTTTGGAGGACCCACGTGACTGTTGCTGGTCTGCCGCATTTGACATGTCTCTCCTCTCTCAAATTGCTCTGGCTGTCTGAATGTAAGGGCGTGACGAATGCTGGCATGGTGCATGTGGGGAGGCTGAGAGGGCTTGAGGAGCTTGCTCTGGATGACACGGCAGTCATGGATGATGGGATGAGGCAGCTGACTGCCCTGACCAAGCTGACAACTCTCTGGACGCCAGAAAGGGTCCAGCTTAGGAATGATGATGTGCGCAGGCGGATCGGTTGGTAGGGTGGCAGGGAGTGATGATGGAAAGGGAGGCGAGGTGAGGGAAGACGCGGTGTCCTGTGTCTTAGTAGGGAAGAAGTGCATATGGAGGTGATGGTGGTTGTGCACGTCTCAACTTCCATGCTGCAGATAGGCACTGGAGAATGGTTGTGTGGTGAATTTGTGCCTTGCCGCTGGACAGAAGCAGGTGCACGGCTGGTTGGGCAAGAGACCACTGTGTGCGTGAGGGGAGGTTGAGTAGCATTGCCTGCCTGGCATTGTTATGATGGAGGGGGGAGCGGTCAGCAGCAGGTTGGACGGGGAAGGGGAAAGGGAGGTGGGGTGGAGGGCAGGAGGGGAAGGGGAGGGCAGGGAAGTAAGAGAGCAGTGAGGGAGGGAGGCGAGCATGGTGGGAAGCAGCAGTGGCAACAGCAATGGCAGCAGTATAGGCTAGGCAAGGAGTGGATTGAGTGGTGTGTGCAAGTTGGTGTGTGGGTCAGTTTTTGCCAGTGCACAGTGAAAGAATAGGTACTTGTGTGAACTTGTTCCTTGATCTCTGAATGAATCGTTGTAGAGTATAAAACATCACAGACGATTCGTACTGTCGGGGGTGATGGTGAGCTGTTGCGTGCGGGTTTTCCAAGCTACTCTCGCTGTACTGATGTTGAGCGTTTTGTCAGGATGAGAAAGCTTCAAAGTATTGAATACCTCCTACCACAATTGTCTTGCATGAAAACACAGGCATGTACGGTACGCATGTGCAACAGCTTGCGAGATGACCTGTCTGTAGGCTATGCTAGGCAGCAGCGCATGATGCGTGGGACGGATGGAGGGCAGACGTGGAGCAGAAGTGGGCCTGTGAATGCAAGCGGCATGTGGTAGGAGACGATTAATCATCTATTCAGTTAATATGGCTCTCGCTACGCGTTCCAAACACTTCGCCCTCTACTGAGGTTGCTGTTTGTCACATTCAGTCTCACTCAGAAGACATTGCTGATGTACTGAAAGAACCTCAACTCCAACTGCTATAAAGAGAAGCTGCCACAGTTGCACCTCCTAACTGCAGCCCCACGCTCCACCCTCTCAATGCTTCCGCCCTGATTGTTTACTAGTAACTCGACTTCTGCTGCATCAAGGCAGCCATCTAGTACCCCTCTGAGCTCGAGCGGGGAAAATGATGTGCCAGAGTAAAGGGTCAGGCACGAGTGAGGGACGCACAAGAAAGAAAAGGGGACTGAGGGAAGTGGAAGTGATTCAGAAACGACTGTGCAGAGGGGATACCGGTAGTATGGAAGGAGGTATGTAGAGGGTGATGTATGGTTAAGTTAAAGTATGACCAGGTGCTGGATAAGGCCTGGGATGAGGCGTGGGATAAGGTGTGGGATCAGCACGCAATGAGGTGGGCATGCACATTTGGCCCAACACCATCCTTTCCTGGCCCAGTAGGACACACAAAGCATGGCTGCTCGTTCAACTCACAAATAAGAATGTCAATCATGAGTTGAAGAACTTACGATGTGCGGTGCTTACATCCACACAGCTTAGTTCTATCCAAACCCCACGTGTCATCACATGACTAGGTGACTGCTCGATGCAACTTAGGGGAGAGGGCAGGGAAAGACGACGTGGGATTGAAGGGCCAGGAAAAGAAGGTCGATTGAATTTTACGCCTCTGTTGCCACTGGACCAAACATTTCAATTTGGTGGCACCGTCAGCCAAACATCAAGAAGGTGGGGGAGGGAGGATAGGGCCTTTTGATTTGTAGTGCTGATATCCAGTTAGCTTGCTTTTGCCCATGCTCCAAGCATCACCACATGGCAAGGAGACTGCTAGACACACGTGAAGGGGGATATGGGGAGGGCAGGGGAAGGGAAGGTGGGGTTGTGGGTGCAGGAAAAGAGATTGTTAGAAGTGGATTGGATTGTGGCGCCTCTGTGCTGCCACCATCAGTCAGCCACTGAGTGGGAAGGGGGAGCGGAAGAGGGGGGGGATGGGGGGAAAGAGGCTAGGACGGGGAGAGGGAAAGTGACCAACCAAGGGGACATATGCATGAGAATCGCCGGAGGGCAAGCGGGGAATGGAGGAGGGAACTGAGGGACAGCCAAATGTCCTGGTGTAGGTGATGTGGGAGGGACCAAAGTGATAGGAGAGGAAGAGAATGAGAATCCAGGTCAGGGAAGAGCACTCGGTTCATGCATGCGGTGAAGATTGACAAGGGTCACACCACGATGAGATGACGGGCATGGCAAGATGAGCTTGTACGATCAAGCTGCTGAAATCTGGCTGAAAGGCAGGAAGAGATGATAGGGAAGAGAAGCGCAGGCAATGGAAGAGCTGACTGGGGCGATGGGAATTGTTGGGTATGAAAGAAAAGAAAGAACGGAATTGGCGAGAGAGGGAAGGGAAGAGAGGGGAGACAGGGGAGATGACAGGAGGGAGTGGAAGAAAGATGGGAGTGACACGAAAGGATATGGGACGGTATGAGGGGACGGGGGGTTCGGGGGGGAGGTGAGAGATGGGTAGCTTACTTCACCTGTGATGATGTCATATGCCATCCAGGAGAAGGTTTGTGCGGTGGTTAGCTGGGGTGGTCAGCTCCTTGTGCCGCTTCATCCTCTCCTCCCACCCACCATGGTGGCTAAACGCCAACTGATTCAACATCCTTTGATGGACTGTGCATGCACCTCTCATGCCTCCCTCCTGCCCGCCTCCCTCCACTCAGTGCTGACTGTCTTGACCGCCACCGCTGCTGCTGCTGCAGCAGGTTGCGGCTCTGGAAGTGCAGGTGCTCCCTTGCACGTGATGCTGCCCCCATTCCACTCGTAGCTGACCGAGTTCACCGCCACCACTGCTGCTGCTGCAGCAGCCCGTGGCTCTGCCATGCTGCCCGGCTGGTATGTTGCAGAGATGAGCTGGGCTGCTCACACGAGTACATGCAGGCAGGTGACCGGCTTCGCTTCACCGCCACCACTGCTGCTGCCGCCCATGGTCTGCCATGCTGCCCTGCTGTGTGACATGGAGATGAGTTGGGCTCCCTCCTCGCCTGCCTCCACCCCACTCGTTGCTGACCGCCTTCACCGCCACCACTGATGCTGCTGCAGCTCGCCAGCCACGAGCTTTTTGCCGGCTGGCTTTGCGTCGCTGCCACGAGCTGGACTCCTTGTGGCCGATACAAGGCAGATGCTGTTGGTGTGCTGGGGAGTGCTTCAGGGGAATGAAAAGAAACGGGGGCGCTGGGTGAGAAGAGGGGAGTGGAGGATATGTGATGCTGGCAGCACATATGAAGGCAGTGCTCGCATTCATTCTGCCTTGTCAGATATCGAGTGGCAGAAACACCATACTAGGCATGGAAGGGTGAAGCCGCAAATGAGGGAGGCATCACATGACAAGAAAACACGGACCATGCATCTCTCGAGGTATACTCACATCTCTCCGCTTCACCTCATCTGTCCAACGCACATACCAGCAGCCAGCCCCAACCGCCCCCGCTGCCTCCTCTCTTCCACTCCTCAGGCGCTGTTGGTGCTGTTGGTGTGGAAAGGGGAAGGAAGTGAGGGGGGGAGTGTGAAGGAGGTAGAGGCATACTGATGAGCGAGGAGGAGGGAGTGGAAGATAGCTGATGTTGACATTGCACTTGGGGGAAAGCGGTGCCAACATTAATTATTCCATACAAGGCAAACTAGAGCCATAAGCATCATCATTGGTTGGGGAGGAGGCAAGGGAGCAAAAGTTGGGATGCATGGCAGCAACATCAGTGGAAGGAGGAAGAGAGAGAGGTGGATAAAGATGTTCAGGTTTCTCTGCATACTAAGCATCGCTCACCTCTGCGTCGGCACTTCACCCTGCCTGCAATCAGATGAGAAGCCACCTGCACGCATGGCATGAGTGCTGCCATGTGCCTGCGGGTGTGCTGCCATGTGCCTGCGGGTGTGCTGCCATGTGCCTGTGGGTGTGCTGCCATGTGCCTGCGGGTGTGCTGCCATGTGCCTGTGGGTGTGCTGCCATGTGCCTGCGGGTGTGCTGCCATGTGCCTGCGGGTGTGCTACCATGTGCCTGTGGGTGTGCTGCCATGTGCCTGCGGGTGTGCTGCCATGTGCCTGCGGGTGTGCTGCCATGTGCTTGCGGGTGTGCTGCCACGTGCCTGCGGGTGTGCTGCCATGTGCCTGTGGCATTTTATATTTCTCAACAGAATCAAGTATGGCATACACAAGCTTGCATCCAAAGTCAGCCAGCAAAACTACCAGCAGTTCAGTCTCAGTTCAGGACAGGGCGCAAGCAAGCTCACAAATTACTGTCCTACCCTAGGCTGTTTACACGCAAGGCCTTGTCCACCACCTACTTGCACACACTTCCACTCCTTGCCTATCGGCTAATGTACACTCTCTCCACGTAAAGGTAATTGTACACCCAGCACCCAAACGGCCTGGCATTTCTTCTGCACCTCCCCTCGTGCAGCCATGCGGAACACTACTCACTCCTGATCTCAACCCGCGCCCACTGCTGCCGCTGCCGCCACTGCTCTTGCCACTGCTGCCGCCGCTGCTGCTGCCACTGCTGCTGCCGCTGCTGCTGCCGCTGCTGCCGCCACTGCTGCCGCCACAGTCGCCGCCACTGCTGCTGCCACTCCATCCTTCCTCACTGCTCTCTTGCTCGCCTTGAGTCCAAGTTCCCCGCCTCCCCTCCCCCTCCCTCTTGCTCCGCCTCGACCCCCCCTCCCCTTCCCCTTCCTCTTCCTCGCCCGCCCTGCTGATGATCACTTCCCCCTGCTGATCACCGCTCCCCCCTTCATCATAAGCGATGCCAGGCAGACAGTCGTCTCTAGCCCAACCAGCCCCGCACCTGCTGCTATCCAGCTGCAAGGCACGAGCTCTACACCTCCATTCTCGAACTCTCTGCAGCATGCAAGTTGAGCCGTGCACAACCACCATTCCATGTCCCACTCCTCTGTATGCATGCCTTCCATCATTCTTCACACCCCTTGCCTCCACATCGCTCCTCAGTCTCCCCTAGACAGTCGCAGTTAACTCGCCCTCACCTCCCTTCCATCATCACTTACTACCACCCTACCCGCCTATCCGCCGCCAAATACGTTCGTCAGATAAGCCCCTTTCGGTGTCCAGAGAGATGTCAGCTTGGTCAGGGCAGTGAGCCGCTGCAGCCCATCATCCGTAACTGCCGTACCACCCAGGCCAAGCTCCGCAAGTCCAGTCAGCATCCCCACATGCTCCATGCCAGCATTCGTCACACCTCTGCAAGAAGTCAACCAGAGCTCTTTCAGAGAGGACAGAGCTGTCAAGTGCGCCAGGCCAGCATCGGTCACCTTGGTCTGATTGAGAAAAAGCTTCTTGAGATGGGTCAACGACCCAATCTTCTCCTAGGCACCGTCTGAGACGTCTGTGCATTCGAGGTCTAGCTTCCACAGCCGTGGCAGCCTGTAGAGGTGCTTGATGCCCTCTGCACTGAAGCCTGAGCTAGAGTGCAGGTCAATGCTCGTCAGATGGGTCAGTGTGGACACATGCCCAATAATGATATCCGAGAGGCTTTGAAAATTCGCTTTGGCATCTCGTGATGCTGACTTGATGTTCTGGAGGAGATGGATGAAGAGGGAACGAATGAATGACAAGCAGAGGAATGACCATCTGAGAGGCCGTGGAAACACTCGAGGTTCAAATTGGGTTTCTGTGACGCTGACTTGATTGCATGGAAAAGAAGGATGAAGAGGGAAAGCATAGCAAGGAAATGGATTACCTCACCACACACTCAAGGTGGAACTGTGGCAAGCATGAGTGAACTGTGGAACAGTTCACTCAACACGCACTCAAGGTGGAACAGTTCACTCAACACACACTCACCTGCCATGCCATCTTCCGATCACCTTCACTCTGCGTGATCTGCACGGCAACATTCTGTTTCAGGTTTCGTATTATCTGCTTGTCCTTAGAGGCTGCCAGTTTCTCCACCTCCTGTACCTCCCTCCTCCTCCCTGGCAAAATTCGCTGTGGTTTCTTGCTTTCTCTTTCTACTCTTTTCTCTCAAGCCTCTCGCATCCGATGCCCTTCTGCTCTCAGCCAATCTCTCTGCCATAGCGTCCTCGTGTTCCGCCAACCCCCCTTTCACCACTGCCAATCCCCCCTTCACCACTATCAACTCCCCTTTAACCGCTGTCAACTCCCTATTCACTGCTGTCAGCATGTGCTGCAACTCTTTCACCTCCTCCTTGTGTGCAGCCAGCTCCTCTCTCACTGCTGCCAGCACCGCCTCTTTGATCAACTCGTTCACTCCACTCGCCACTCTCTCAGCAGCCATATTGTCACTCCTCTGAAACAGCCCTTGTTCAATGACTGGCGGATCCCTGCGTTCAACTGCCAACGCAGTTGACAAAGGGAAAAGAAACGCACACGAGACGAGGAAGAGGGAGGGTGTTTAGTGTGCACAGAGCAAAATCAGTTGCATGGGAATCAAAGACAAGGTGCAGAGTGAGTAAGAGAAGAACAAAGGAGCAATTGAAGAGAAACCTGATGGCAAGATGGAGAGCATATGTATGGGTTAAGCACTTAAGTTTGATGTTTGTGCACACACATGCATTTGGCATGAATTGAGACGGCAGAACAAGGGGAGGCCAGGCGAGGAGGATGTTCAGAGGAGGCAAGATGTCAGGAGGGGCAATGCGAGCGCGCGTAACTATTTAAAAAAAAAAAATCGAGGAAGAGCGCGCATTTCCTTTTAAAACTTACATAACGAAAATGAATTCATTGTGTAAATCAATATCAGCACTCCCACCGCACCTTGACATCAATACAAGTAGGTGAGGTGAGGGTTACAAAACGTGGCCGTAGAACCAACAGGAACAGGCCAGAAAGGAATCCTGGAAGAGAAAGGCAGCAAGATGGGATGCTGCATGAGGATGTGAAGCAGCAATGACGACGGGACAAAGAGCTCAGCTCAGCCTGGCATGAAATATGCAACCTCACCAACCAAATGCACATCCTCACACTGGATAGAACCGAGTCATTTAAAAGATAAATCAGTGGATTGTTTCTCCGTACCACAGTCAGGCAGGCGAGGGACGCCAGAGCGAGCACACAACAAGCGGAATGAAAGTAGAGGGCAAGGGAGAACATAAATGGTAGTGAATGGCATACATAGAAAGAGTGCAATGGGCTGAGCAATTGGCTTGGCCGTTTGAGCAGTGACAGAAGATTCCTGAAGTTGCCTTGCGACGTGGCCTGAGATTCCACTCGGCTCTTAGCGAGCTGGTCATCTTGAGATGACGGGGCTGATCAGAAACCATGAATTTTCAAAGCTCCTCCGTTGGTTGAATTTGGCGAGGAGCGTGATACGTGCCAAATCCCCTGAGCTGGTCGACTACATACCTGCTGGAGGAGGTCGAGACGGGGTGGCTCGTGGGTCGCAAGCCTAGTGGCGAGAGCGGCAGCTTGCTGCCAGCAGCCTCCTCAACTCGGGCATTAGATTCGAGCCGCATGACGGACATGCACTAACTTTGGCTCGGAGCGAGCGAGTTAGACTCGGCTTGGTGGTCAGGGCCTAGGCCACACAAGGCGAGCTGAAGCGGATAGCAGCAATATTGACCCTACTCAGTCAGTCATTGCTCATGCATAGACCACACCAGAGTGTTATGGAATACGAGAATCGGAGTTGATGGGAGGGGTCCTTGGCAGTACGGAGGGTGGTTAAAACTGTTATGGGGTGACATAGAGGATCCGATCTATGTCCTGCTCAGACAATGCGAGTTTGGTCAGGCACTGGCGAGCTTAATCACAGGCTAGGTCACTCATAGACTTGATCTGTCCAAGGCAAGCTAGCTCAGATCCAAGCGTGAAACTTTACTAAAAGAGCTGGGCGTACTGTGTAAATGATCTGGTGCATTCACGCAATGACACAGGTAGGTCCGTGAGATCCCGGGACAGTGCAACAGCATGAGGAATGAGCCAAGGAGAGAATCAGCGGGACGGGAAGGGCCCAGGCCAATAATGCATCAAAAGTTACACAACGGGTTCTGATACATGTACGAGCACCATGGCTCTTACGCTGGGAGTCTTGAAATGCGGAAGGCCAAGACTGAGATACAATAGGGAGGTTCCATTCCATGTAATGACTGAGGTGTCAGAGTGGTTACCTTTTCTTCAGAATTCCTTCAGGTGTCGATGTTTTCCACGTCTCGTGTAGCGACTCAGCAGCGGTGTGCAGGGTCAGTCTATCTACAGTGCGAGGATTGGCGATTCTGAAACTGGCGCGAGGGACGGAAGCAATGGGATGGGATGGGCGAGACCGGGAAAGTACTCAATGCAACTAATATTCGCTACACCCTGTTGGCTTGATAAGACAAACCTAGGCAATTTCTACTCGCCTCGCTCGCTGCTCGTGACAACATTAAGTGGCCAACCAAGAAGACTGAGGCGCGAGCTTACTAAGGGTTGCAGGCTAGCACTGCTGCACAGCTCTAGCAATAGCGAATATGGCACTTCTCAATTATAGCGCGAAACAGCTGCATTATGGATGTAATGGCGCAGATTCAAATGAGGAGAGCAAATAGACAGGGATGTGTGGTGATGGGACTTGCAGGAATGCGATGCCACACAGTCGTTGTTTTCTTGCCAATGTAATACTATATGAATACTCGGATTGGCGTCAGATTGCCCTAATACGGGCACGGAGGAGTGGCGCTTTTATTCATGGATAAACGACTTAGCTTTTCTATATCTTACCATGAGCTACGGGAACATGGAATGGAGATGGTTTGGTGGCAAAGGGGCGAGAGACACGGAGCTAAGGAGCATGAAAGGACTTGGAACCATTAGCGAAAGATGATGAGGGCTGTGCCAGCGTGCGAGCAGTGAAATGACGGGACCAGCCTTACATCAGAAGTTCAGAACGGTTCCTAGGGTTTCGCAGGGTGAAACGACGTACGGCCAGAAAAGGCAATGTTGCCTGCTAGGCGCAACGGGGTTCCAGAGACGCCAAACGATCTGAGATGCGATTCTCACGCGACGGAGAAGATGGCTTTGAAACGAGAAGATAAGATAGAGTGCGGCCGTATGACTTGCACTAACAGCGACGCGGGTTTGAAGGCTGAATATGCGCCATTAGTAGAGTGACACTAACGTGCTGAATGGTTCTGCTCGTGGCTCGTGCTGCGTTTCAAAATCGGGGTTGACGGGTAACCAGAATTTAGCTCATTCAACGTTGTGTGCACGAAGTGCGAAGAATCAGCTCCATACAATGTCGTCACGTGAGCAAAATTACGCTTCCAGAGTGCGAATACGTTTGGAGATTTTGTAACGGGTGAGGAAGGATAAATGGCACTGGCGCTGTACCTCGCTCAAGGAACATGCGTGGGGTGAAATGGGAACGTCACATGGACTTGCACATTAGGTCTCAACTCAACTGTAAGTAATTTGCCAATTCCTTACTGACGGGTATAGCCCGAGCACATCGCGTCAGTTGGCTCGGCCTACACTTCCGCACCGAACCAATGCCGAGTCGCCCCGCACCAATCGCGACACATCCAACCCAACCACGTCCCGAGGTCCTCGCCTAGCACGGGTTCGACCCTATAAATGCGTGCTCCTTAATCATTCCTGAGCACTGAGGAATGCTGTAATTCTTTCTCTTTATAGAAGTCTTCCGCGCACTCTGTCTAATAAAACTCATAACATCAACAAAGTTCCCGTAACTGCTCAAGTCGCAAGCAGATTCGGTGTTTTGCGAAGGCTGGGATGGTAACAGCTAAGGGCGCATCACCTCGGGGCTGGAAGGCCCAAATCCGAACACGTCAGAATTCACTGTACGAACAGTTTCCCGAGATCCGAACACAAATTTGAACACCCTGGCGAATGTGATAGCTCGTGACTAGAGGTGACAGCCTCTTCGAACATGCGACGTCGCCAAGTGTTGGACGGCTTCGCAAAACGTCGCAAGAAAATAATTCAGTCATCTGCCATTCAAGTTTGACTCATTTTTCGCCCATCCAGTCAAAATGTCTCTTCGTGCTCTTCTACTACTGCTCACCTTGTTGTTTCCCAACAACAACGGCCATTTTCAGGTGCATGCCGTTTAGTCGAGGCGCGCTTTTCAGGTGCATGCCAGGTTGCGTACACTTGTCTCAGTTTAAACTATGTCTCTCGTAATTGTACACATACACATTGATCAGGATTCAATTAAATTTGACACAATAGGTCTGAAATAGATGCAATTTCGGGCTACGCAAATCGGAATCGGAATGGTTGGCTCTCGATGCTTCATTTTCTGACGTCACTCAGTGCAATGATTGCATTTCTGCCGCAAATTGCATCTACGAAAGAAATAATTTAACCTGAGACCAGTGTACGCACTGGCATGCACCTGAAAAGCGCGCCTTCACTAAACGGCATGCACCTGAAAATGGCCGCAACAACAATGTCCTTTTCGATGAACTTTCTCCTGCATGGCGACATTTGCAATGGTCGCAAACATTCGTCTGCGACTTTAAGCCTGCCAACCAATCAAATCAGTCGTCCATGCGGAATCCCTCTCGCCAAACCCAACTTTGTTCGAACAACTCTGAGAGAATTTCTCCAGACCCCGAAACGGTGATTTGCCGCTGCACACGTGGCCTCGAATTGCTATCGTGGTCGGACAATTCGATGATAATTGCTCGAGTGGTCTTGCCAGAGGTTTCCTCTGGAATTTTTTTAATCTGGCACATTACCCAAAACCGGTATTTAGCCCTGAAATTCTTACGTTGAACGTGTCTCTTCCCGCGAAAGTGTGGCGTACCCGGAAAGACGTGCACGAGGGCGACAATGTCACTATTCTGATACGCGACAAAAATCAGCACACTCATCTAGGCAAACAGTTGCGCTCAATTTCGGTCCATGTCGTAACCAATCCGCGTATAGTTATATGATTCCACGATCATATATTCAGTTGGACGGATGTCAGTACGCGCGACCAGTTACAGAGTGCGCCTAATTGGTCGACTTTATGCGCGGGGCCTTTTCTAACCTTGCGCGTCCAATCAGACGCGGTCATGTAAGATCGCGCTCATATAAAACCGCATATTTACCTATATGAGCGCGCATATGTGATGCTCGAATATGTGTATGATCTGTTTTACTAATCTAAAGCTATATTAATAAATTCGAGAGACATTATGACTGCCGACGTTTTGCCATTATACCTATATCACGCTGTGCGATATAGGTATGAACAGTTTGATATAGGTATAATGGCAAAACGCCGGTAGTGATAACGTCTCTCAAATTTATAAACATAGTTTTATATTAATAAAACAGATTACACACGCATTTCAGCATCACATATGCGCGCTCATATAGGTAAATATGCGGTTTCATATGAGCGCAATCTTACATGACCGCGTCTTATTGGACGTGCAAGGTCAGAAAAGGCCCCACGTATAAAGTCGACCAATCAAGCACACTCTGTAATTGGTCGCGCGTACTGACATCCGTGCAACTGAGTATATGATCGGGGAATCATATAACTATGCACGGATTGGTTACGATATGGACCGAAATTGAGCGCAACTGTTTGCCTAGATTACCGTGCCGATTTTTGCCGCGTATCCGAACAGTGACGGCGCCGCCCTCGTGCACGTCTTTCCGGGCGCGTCACACTTTCACAGGAAGAGACAAGTTCGACATAAGAATTTCAGGGCTAAAAACCGGTTTTGGGTAATGTGGCGGATAAAAAAAAATGCCAGAGGAAACCTCTGGCAAGACCACTCGAGCAATTATCATCGAATTGTCCGACCACGGTAGCAATTCAAGGCCA